GTAGAACAGCATGCTGCAAACCTATTCAACAGTCAAACTCAAGCAGCAGTGTTTGTGTCCAACATCAGTAGAACTGCAACATGTCATCAATAACTATTCAACAATCCCCAGTGTCTCTTTAAAGGTGCTTAGATTCTTTCCTTCCAACTGTCAGCTATTAAGAACAGGATCAAAGAACAGCACTGGAGATGGAAATTGTCTACTAGGACATCTATATCCTGTATCTATCCTTCTTGGAGGACCGTTTCCCAGAAAATAAAATTGTTTCTGTAACCAGTTGAGTTTTGAAGGTCTTCAGAAAGAGGGTTTGAAGGTAAGGTAAAGCTCAACTGATGTAAAACCTGCTTGCCCACATTGGAAAATGCTGTGTTAGAACAGGTGACAAATAAGATGTTAAAACATTACTTGCATTCTGTGTAGAAAAAGGACTGTTGCATTTCACGTCACATCAACTGGTTCTGATTTATTCCAGGGCTAACCATAACTAGAGCTGATTGAATAATTTAGTTTTTAGTTTGGTGGCTGAACTTTGGAAAAAAAATATTAGACATTGTTTGACCCAAAACAATTCCTCCTCTCCCCCTCCCCCCATGGTTTTGGTTATTTTTTGGCTTCATTTTTTAAAATAAATCTTGCTAAATTTTAAAACAAATTTCATTTTGAAATGAAAAGTCAATGTTTCATTCCACCCTTGGGGTGGGGGGAAGGTCATTTTTCCGCCCTGGAAGAAACCATTTGATCAGTTTGACCTGGAACTATTCCCAAGTTCAGTCAACCCAAAACTGCAGTTTTTGGTGAACTATTCATCCAAAAACTTTTGCCCAGCTCAAACCATGACTAGCCATTTAACTTACTCCTTTCTATGTACTGCATCTTTAAGTTTCCAGTAGTAGCTGTTTGCAGAAGGCTGCCGCCATTTAGCAAAGCAGAGATAATGCAGTACGTTCCAGAAAGCTCACACAGCGCTTTCCATAACTGACAATAAAAATTACATAGGCTGGAAATATAGGACCTCACTCTGTGGACAGTATACAGAACAAAAGAATTCAACCTGGATACATGATTCTCCCTGAGCAAGGACTGAAAAACCCACCTGCCCTTGGCAAGTAGGAATCTGCTATGAGATTTTCAAAAGCACCTGAGTTTGGAGCACAAGTCTCCCTGAATTTCTGAAAATTCAACTCATGGAGCTTTAGTATAGATAGTAGAATTGTTAGTGTGTGTTAATCAAGATCCTTAACAGACGTTCTCATTAGGAAACCCTAGGGATGGAATGAATCTTTCATTCATAAAGGAATATATTACTGGTATACAGCTATTCATCTCTTACGGAGCAACCCAAAGCAGCCACAGAAGAATAAATATGGCCACCAGCAGCTTGATCCAGGAGAAGCAGCATAGGAAAGAGACGACATAGCTGGGGGACATTCTGATCTACCCCTCTGAACAGGGAGCCAACAGCTACATTCACTTTTCCTGCATGGGCGCGCTGGGTACATACAGACTGTAACACTATTGATACCCAGGAAAGCTCTCCTGCCCCTGGCTTGAGGGCACCTGCCCATGCTCTCTACTCCTAGGTAGTAACTATATGTTTGGCTGTCTAAGATAGATGGCAGTTTTCCTCCAGGGCAACATTCAAACAAACCTGTTTAGCCTTGCTCCAACCCTCCTCCTGTGAGGACTAAAGTGACAGGCGGCTGATGTTTTGACTCGTATGAAATGCATTTTAGCGCAGTATCCCCTTAGAGAGCGATTATTCTCCCACTGCAATCACTGATTTCAATGAGCACAGGATTGGGATCTGAGAGCCTGATCCTCAGGTGCACCTTTATCTGGAGTAGCAGGTGCTCCACACATTTCAGGATCAGCCCCTCTTTTGCAAACCAGGTCACAGCCATTTAAGTAATCAATGCAGTGCCTAGGCAACAATATGTAATATTCAACACTGAATCTCCAGCTATCAGAAAAGGTCCTTGGCACAATGATTTAAAAAAAAAGTAGCCAAGGGGAAACTTGACAGTGGATCTTCTGGGGATTGAATTAGGACTCATTTTGGAACAGGGGCATAAGAGGGAATGTGAGCGCACTGTTGAAATGACAAGACAGGTTCTGATTTAAATGAAGCAAAAGCATTTCTGCTGAAAATCACACGGTTATCAAATGCTAAAGAGACTTCCACATAAACACTGGATTAAAGAACTCACATGAAGGCAGGATTATTTTTCCATAAGTAATTTACATTTGAAGAAATAGGCTGAATGAGAAATATACAGTGATATTTTATTTACTCAGAGATCAGATGGACATAATCCAATAGTTGGTCATTGTCACAGAAAGGTATCAAACATATACACCAAAAACTATTATTCTTTGTATTACAGTAGCACCTAGAAGCCCCAAATGAAATCGGGGCCCCACTGGGCTACATACTGAACAAAACACCTAGTAATAGACAGTCCCTGCCCCAAAGAGCTTGCAATCTAAAAAGGCAAAACTAAGGAGGGGGAAAGGTTACTTTTCCCACGGTCATGCAGCAGAGCCAGGAACAGAAGGCAGGTTTCCTGAATCCCAGTCTGACTCCCTATCCACTGGACCATGTTGCCTCTCAGTGTTTCAGGATCTATATAATACTATGTTTCAGTATCTTCAATGGTGCCTAGCTCTTGAAGTGAATTAAAAGGCAACCTCTGAAAGCTTAGTGCCTGTGACGCCTTATATCATCTCTAGTGCTTCTAGTTTACAGTTTAACAAGAAAGGCTCACTGCTTTCAATGCCCTCACCGCTTCAAACAGAACTTTCTTCTGCACTGGCCAAGAGTGAGGATGTTCAACCCCGTGTGCTCACTTCCAGGAGTCAGTTTAGCGACTTGGCTTCTGAGAAATCTGCAGAGTAGCCCATTGCTGTATTACCTGACGCTATTTCTTACAGTCCACACAGACCTAGATCTTTGAAAGCTCCAGATCAGCTGTGTAGCAGAATTTAGCCTCTCTGACCCACAATACTTAAAATTAAGGGCCAGGTTCTGACCCCCTTTGAAAATGCCTTCCAGATGGGTGTGCACACACAATGTAAGATATAAGAGTAGCGTCATCTTTCATCCATATTCTCACCACCAATATCATTTCCCTCCCAACCAGTTCCTGATACAATCCTCCATTTTGGAGATTTTTACGTATCACTGCAGAATCAACAGGAACATACTCACAAGCATACAGACCCTCTGCCAAAACCCAGAATGCATCTGCAGTTGGAAGATCTGCAGAGTGGCCTCTTCACAGATTTTGTGGGTGTTACTGTCAAGCACCAGGTAGCCAAATTTTGTTCCCTCCCTTATTTCAGGATATTCTATGGCCCCAATAACCCTGGCATATGAGCACTATGATGATGAGTACAGTATAAGAACACCACACTTTTTTTTCTTAATGTATTTATCCTCACAACATCTTCAGTGCTATTATCCCATTTTACAGATAGGCAACTGAGGTAGAGAGAGACTTGGCCATAGTCAAATAGGAAGACTGAGGTGGAGCAGGGAATGGAATGCACGTCTTCCAAGTCCAAAGACTAGTGCCCTAATCAGGGGACCATCCTTCCTCTCCTGCTCCCCAATGTAGCTAGCACCAAGTTTCTGTATGAAACCTATGATCCAGTTCCTATTAGGATTCTTTCCCTTGACTTGGATCAAGCCCTAATCTTGTTTAACACACACACACACACACAACCAAGCTACCTCTCTAAAAAAGAAATTAAAAAAAAAAGTTTTTAAACCAGTCATCTGTACTAATTTGCAGAAAGCACATCTGAACCTGGATTTCACTTGTTGCACCACCCCTCAGGAAAAATGCAGATAAGGTTTTAATATGGCAATTAGGTACAGAAAGCCTTAAGTACAAAAGCTTGTGTGACAGTAGCACACAGTAATACTGCATATGAAGACTGAGCTTGAGTAGTTTTACCCCTGTTATCTGGAGTTTCTTTCAAATGCATACGGTTCTTCCTCAACATAAGCTTTCAGCCCCAGGAGCTTCCCAAATGAGACCCATCTGGAAGAAAACTTGGCAGTGACAAAGAAGGGAAGAAAAGTTCATCTCTTCTCTCAGACCTACTTTTGTTAGTAGCCGGCAGATGCAGATGCATCTTTGTATGCTTATGATCTTAAATATCAGCTTGATGATAAGGCTGAATATCCAGAGATGTGAGAGGGTTTCCAAACAACAACTTAGAGGAAAGGCAATCCTATACTTTCGGTTGCATAGAACAAAGGCATCACAAATCCATTCTTGCCCTGTATTCCCCTGGATAGAATTCCAAACTGCCTCATATCTTGCATTTACACCTATGCAATGTGGGTGTAACGACCATTTTGCTCTGGTAGAACTGTACATCCATTTTGCACGAGTGTAAGTGACTACACAAGTAGTAGAAAAAGTCAGGCCCCCATCTCACCTCTCATTTTCTGTCTCTCTTCCCCTCCTTTCCCAGGTCTAATCTCCCAGTAGGATGCAACCACCAGAAGTAAACATGATCACACTTAATCAGGGCCAGTAATGACATGCCAACCAGTAGAGGACAGGATTCTGGAGAATCACATGAAAGACTTGTACATTATCATTCAGATGTTTATTCCATTTTGTCTTAGGTTCTACTCCATATTCTCTGCCCTCTCCTTCCCTCCCCCAATATACACACACTTCCTTTTTGGGATTATATTTTTTAAAGGCAGTTCTTTTCTGAAAAGAGTGACTCTGTAGAAATGACAGGTTTCAGAGTAGCAGCCGTGTTAGTCTGTATTCACAAAAAGAAAAGGAGTACTTGTGGCACCTTAGAGACGAACAAATTTATTTGAGCATAAGCTTTCGTGAGCTACAGCTCACTTCATCGGATGCATTCCGATGAAGTGAGCTGTAGCTCACGAAAGTTTATGCTCAAATAAATTTGTTAGTCTCTAAGGTGCCACAAGTACTCCTTTTCTTTTTGTAGAAATGGCACCTTCTTACCTCAGCAGAAGTTTCCAAGTACACTGAGGCTCATCTGCTGGCTCCTTTAAAAAAAAAAAAAAGGATTTTACTTATTTATTACTCCATACAGCCCAACATTCAGTACACTTGAAAGAGTGAGCAGGACTGTACTCTTGCTTGTGGATTATCAACAAAATTGTATGCTAAGTTTCAATCAGTTACACTTGTGCAAACCCACTGACAGCAACTGGGTTGCATCAGTGTCACTGAGGGCAGATTTTGTCCTGCAGAATGTCTAGTGCTAGCTATGAACCATGAGAAGGAAAAGACCTCACTTGATACTCCCATCCCCAGGCTGAGCTTGCAAGGCTGGCAGATAGAGAAAGCATCTCTTTAACTGTGAGCAGAGTACATTTGATCTGGAGACACTGAGACAAGCACAGAGCCCTACAAAGCCACTTTTGAGAGTCACTTTTCGAAACTGTACCACCCCAAGACCCCCCCGTTCAGCAAGATATGTCAGCATGTGCCTAACTTCCAGCACATCAGCAGTCGCATTGACTTCACTGAGACTAGTCAAATGATTAAAGTTTGGCACATACTTAAATACCTCGCTGAATCAGGGTCTAACACAGGGGCAGGCAAACTTTTTGGCCTGAGGGCTGCATCAGGTTTTGGAAATTGTATGGAGGGCCAGATAGGGGAGGCTGTGCCTCCCCAAACAGCCAGGCGTGGCCTGGCCACTGCCCCTTATTCCCCCCCACCCCCGCTTCTCGCTCCCTGATGCACCCACCCCCTTGTGACTCCTGCCCCATCCAACCCCCCCATTCCCTGATGGCCCCCCTGGGACCCCTGCCCCATCCCCTGACCGCCCCCAGAACCCCCACCCCAATTGCCCCCTGCTGCCCCATCCAACCCCTCCTCTCATTCCTGACTGCCCCGGGACCCCTGCCCCATCCAACCACCCCTTCTCCCTGACTGCCCCCAGAACCACTGCTCCCCGCCGCCCCATCCAGCCCCCCCCCTTTCCTGCTCCCCCCGGGACCCCTGCCCCCATTCAACCCCCTGGTTCCCTGCCCTCTGACCGTCCCAATTCCCCTGCCCTCTATCCAACACCCTCCCCCCCGCCCCACGCTGCCCCCTTACTGCGCTGCCTGGAGCGCCGGTGGCTGGCGACGTTACAGCTCCACCGCCCGGCTGGAGCCGGCCACGCACCGTGCAGCGCAGAGCACCGGGTCAGGCCAGGCTCTGCAGCTGCGCTGCCCCAGGAGCTCGCAGCCCCCTGCCCAGAGCATGGCGCCGGTGACTCAGTGAGCTGAGGCTGCGGGGGAGGAGGAGGAGCAGCAGGGGAGGGGCCAGAAGCTCCAGGGCCGGGCAGGAGGGTCCCGTGGGCCAGATGTGGCTCGCGGGCCTTAGTTTGCCCACCTCTGGTCTAACAAATAACAGGCCTGCCTACCGATTCTTGTAATCTAGGATTTAATCTAGTACCTTGGAATATATAAATAACTTCATTTAGAAAAGTTATTACTTACAGGGCCTGCTGTAAATCTCACTAGGATTTAATAGGCTAGTTTCTCAGAGATCATTGCAGCTTTTTTAAAAACAACTTTAAATCATTAGTTTTAGAAAGAGTAAAAACAAACAGTAACAGCTACATTTATCTGTGCAACAATTGTCAACCTAGTCATCATTGGGGATTGTAACTATGACCTCCAGAACAAAGAGCAGGACCACTACAGCTTGAGCTGAAGGACTAAGCCGTATGGCTCAGTGGCTCTCAACCTTTCCAGACTACTGTACCCCTTTCAGGAGGCTGCTTTGTCATGCGTACCCCAAGTTTCACCTGACTTAAAAACTACTTGCTTACAAAATCAGACATAAAAATACAAAAAAGTGTCACAGCACACTTTTACTGAAAAATTGCTCACTTTTTCATTTTTACCATATAATTATAAATCAATTGGAATATAAATATTCTACTTACATTTCAGTGTACAGTATATAGAAAAGTATAAACAAGTCATATGAAATTTTAGTTTGTACTGACTTCACTAGTACTTTTAATGTTGCCTGTTGTAAAACTAGGCAAATATCTAGATGAGTTGATGTAACTCTGGAAGACCTCTGCATACCCCTAGCGGTACGCATACCCCTGGTTGAGACCCATGGGTGAAGCAGTCTAGTATCCTCTGTGGATCAGGCTCAGAGGGAAATGCATAACACACTGTACGACAGATTACCTATGCGCATGTGAATAAGATGAACACTGCAGGAGTCTGACGTGGGAGAATCTTTACATACCTAGGGCATGGCTACACTTGTAGATGTAGAGAGCTTTGAGTTAAACCCACCTTCGTAGAACGCAGTAGGGAAAGCACTGCAATCTGTCCACACTGACCGCTACAAGCGCACTGGCGTGGCCACGTTAGCAGCTCTTGTAATGGCCACAGAGAGCACTGCATTGTGGTAGCTATCCCAACATGCAAGTGGCTGCAACATGCTTTTCAAATGGGGGGGTGGGGTTGGAGTGTGACAGGGAGTGTGTTGTGTGTATGTGGAGGGAGAGGGAGTGGGTTTGGGGGCAGCTGAGAGCATGTCAGCATGCTGTCTTGTAAGTTCAGACAGCAGCAGACCCCCTCTCCCCTCCACCTCTCTCTCTCACACACAGCATTCCACAGTAATGGCTGCTTTGTCTCGGAGCAGATAAACATGCCGGCTGTCAGAATCGGAGCTTTCAAAGGGCATAGCCGCATTCCTACAGCAAGTTCAAAACAATGAGAAGAGTGGCCACTTGACTTAAGGAGATTATGGGACATTTCCGGAGGCTGATCAGAGCACAGTAATGCAACACCTCGTCCGCTCTGGCGCTGCGGCACTCCAGTGGGGGCGCAGCAAACGTTATTCCACTCGCTGAGGTGGAGCTACAATGCTGCTGGTACCACGGAGTCAGAGCTCTCTACGTGATTTGCCAGTTTGGACGAGAAGTGAGCTAGCGCGCCCGGGGCTCCTTTATTGCGCTGTAACTTGCAAGCGTAGCCAAGGTCCTAGTGACAAGAGTGTTAGGCCTTGTCTACACTACAGAGTATTGTCCGGAAAAGACAGCTTTTGTCAACAAAACAGTGAATGCGTACACACTGTGATGCAACTTTTGCTGGCAAAAATGCCCTGTTTTGACGACAAAATAAAATCACCCCAATGATGCATCAATGGTGTGGTTTCCAGCCTTAAAGCTGAATTTCCTGTAGGCTTTTTTGTGATTTTAAAATGAGATCTATAATGTTACCCTAATTTTTTGTCATCATCGTTTAGTAACATCTTTTAGCTACTGAAATGTTAAGTCGGGGGTGACAGTTTAAGAATAGGTTTAGGTCTGAAGCCACAGTCCATTAAATCAGGGATTTGTGTCTAGTTATGTAAAACGTGAATTCAAGAGCATGCTCCTATAATTTTGCCACACCCACAATATTGTGTTTAGCTAGTGTGTTAAGTCGAAACAGGCCTTTTCAAGAGTCTTCCTCTAGGAAGGGTACCTACAACAAAGTTACATCCACAGACCCCTGTTTATTGGGGAGCAGAGCGAAACTGCAGCATTTTTGTTCTATAGACAGATACTTAATTGTACAGCATCTAGACATCCAGGTGACAGGCATCTTTCTACAGGAATAAGCTATACCCATATAAGAACCTTTATATCGGTATAACTATGCCCACATTAGGAGTTTTTTTTAGAAAATTAACTATTTCTCTATTAAAAAAAAAAAAATCACACCCCTAACCAAAAACATACCAAAAATGTTTGTAGACCAGGCTTTAGAAATGCCTTAAGATGGGCTGGGCAGCCTAACCAATGGGTCAGTGTTATTTACAGTATCTGCTGGACCTATATTCTGATCTGCTTGAAGAAAGTTGACATTTAACGGAACACAGTTGAGCGGCTGGGTGATTTTTATTAGAGGCCAGCCTGAACCCGGGAGTTTAGAGCAAGATTCAGAACCCTTCTCGGAGATCAGCAATGTTCCTCTCTAGGATTTTGCACACAGACACAGGCATACACTTAAAGGACACTCAAATCTGGGGTTTTATTCAGATCCTAACAGAGATAGGAGCCATTTGTAGAAGTTCAGAGTTAAGGTTTTGGCTCAGGCCCGTCCCTGATTTCATCTCTAATTTCTCTCTTCAGATCCCACCCCCAAATATCACCCAAAAAAAATAAAGCTGCCAGTAGCTAAAACAAAGGTTTTAGGGGATTGGGCAAAGAACACAACATTCCTGTCTGAGTGCAATGAAAACAGTTTGAACAAGCTTTCAAAGGTCATTATCATGACAAACTGCCAGAAACAGGTCATCCATTTGCAATTAGGGCTGTGCAACTCAGCTCATTTCAAGCCCAATACTTTTGCTAAATTTGCTCAGTTTCCCTGAATGGCTTCCAGAGTACTTGGCCCCCCACACTGGCTGCCACCCGAAGCCAGGTCAAACGGAGCACTTTGCCTGAGTTTTGCTTTGAGATATTGGGGTTCTGGATGTCTTTGTACGAGGAAAATCTGAGAGCATCATTTTTTCAGTTACACAGCATTCCATGGAGCACCAAGCTCTGTATGAGGCAGGAAAATGCTCGTAATCCCAAGTGCATAAGGATCATTCTGACTGAAAACGTTAATTAACTGAATTGCTTCGTAACTGTGAAGCAATCTCTGGAAATTGATCTGTTTAAAGGGAAGAGGAAAATATACACAGACCACCTATTGCGAGCAATATAGCTTTTCCATCTAATACTTATGACTTCTGTTAAGAACTCCACATATTCTTTTGTCCTGTCATTTTTGTGGATTCAGAATTCCAGGATCAGTGCAAGGCATATTAGCTGTCAACCAAATAGATGGGAGACAAAATAGAAGAATGGTTTCAGAGTAACAGCCGTGTTAGTCTGTATTCGCAAAAAGAAAAGGAGTACTTGTGGCACCTTAGAGACTAACCAATTTATTTGAGCATGAGCTTTCGTGAGCTACAGCTCACTTCATCGGATGCATACTGTGGAAACTGCAGCAGACTTTATATATACACAGAGAATATGAAACAATAC